GAATGGCGCCGGAGGGTGCAGCGGCAGCCGGCCAGCTTCTTCGAGCTCTGCTGCCACCTGAGGTGCGTGCCCAACATTTGGGCGCTGCACGAGTGGAGCAACTGGCTGACGCCCGTGGGCCGGGCCGGGCGAGGGGGCCGCCGCTACGACACGGCCTTCTACCTCTGCTGCCTCGGGCAGGGCCCGCCGGAGGCCTCGCACGACCAGGTGGAGGTGACGGCGTGTCAGGTGAGGGCGAGGGTGAGGGAGGCGGGCAGGGGGGCACGGCGGCGGTCGGTCGGTCGCGGGGCGAAGGGGCCTGGAACCGCCTCGCTGCTGGTCTTGCCGCCCCCTCGCCCGATCCTAGCCCGTCTCACCTTGCCTTCGGCAGGCAGGCTTTTCAAATTCCTGCTCTTCGAGTCTTGCCTCTTCAAGTATCGCCACATCCATTCTCCAGACCTGCTGCCTTGCAGCCTTTATCTGTTGTTAAGAAATACTTCTACTGTATCCTGCTTCTCATTCATACAGATCACAAGGTGGTTCCCACCCGCACCATACACAATAAAACAAGAAAGCCACAATCTTCCCACATGTGAGAGCACTCAAAATATATCAGGGCTATAAAAATGCCAAATTCAATATTTTCTTCCCCAGTAAATGCCTAAAACTCTTCAGCACTGAGGCTGACATATTAAGAAGAGAAGATGGGTATCTAGGTATTTATGTACGGTACTTAATTAGATTGATATCCTGCTATCCAAGGAGCACTTGATGTTGTCTTATTTGTTTGTTTAAGGTACCTCTTCAGATGGAAGGGCTTTAGGAAGCATATCTAGTAGTAAATAATAGTAGTAGTGATAATAATATGCCATCTCATTAGGTTACAGTAGTAATCTGAAAAGAACTTTGATAGAAAAAGGAAACTAAAATTTACTTACAATCACTGGAGTTAAATCTAATTCTGGTCCTGAATAGACTAGGTTTGTTGAAATTAGTGGAACTTAATGTTATTTGGGATGAACGTCCCATTCGTTTAAATAGGTTTATTCTATTTGGGACTAAATTTGGATTTAATCCACTGTCCCCATACCAAATTTTATCATCACAACATCCCTCTGAAGGATGCTGGGCTGATCATAAGTGAATACACCAGAAGAAAAGGGTCTTTGAGGTCTCATCTGACACCAGATCTGATAAACCAATCATTCCACTCTATGGAAAGTGGCACAGAGCACTACTTTAGATTGTGAAGTTGTCATCTGCCTTTTCCTCAAAATACATGGGGTCAGTTAAGTGCACTTGTTTTTTAGAAGAAGTAAATGTAATGTTTGATCCTCTGTGAGAAGGCTGGTCAAACTAAGAAGAGGGAAACGACATGCTTCTGTAGTTCTGGGGGATGGGGGGGGGAGAAAAATAATAAGGCCAGTCCTAAAGACAAATACGAAGTCGTTTTGATCTCATAGAGACTTGTTACTTCTGTTTAGAATTGCCTCAGGCTGTTTCAAGGTAAAGACTTTTCTGTCATGAAAATACTACTATGCCTGTATGTAAGGTGCCTTTAGTTCTACCCTAGATAGTCAAGCCATAGGAACGAATTTTCCAGGAATGTACTATGAATAATTACAAGCCTCAGATCATATCAATTGTTTCACGTGCAAGGCTGGACTAGTGCAAAACTGCTCTTGAGGACCATGACCATTACTGTGTTGGAGTCAAAGTCAGAGAAACCATTCATGACAACACAGATCATATCAGTAGTGTCAGTCTAGTGTTGATGGGACTGGTAGGCAGGGAATCCCATGTCCATAGCTGGTAGAGCTAGATTACAATGGGAATCCCATGTCCATAGTAAGATACAGCTAGATTATAATGGTTTTATTCTTTTTATTTCCCCCTGCAATGACACAGAATTCTTTTGTGGCTTATTCTCTCTTGGGAGAAATAGCTTTAACTCTGCTATCCCTTCTAGCCATGGGAAAGGGAGAATTCCCCACTTGCCAACAATGGCTCCTATATTATTTTATCATCCCTCCCTCTGCTTTCTCATCTGCTAGTTGGAGGACTCTTTGAGCTGTAGTCCCAAAAAATAAGTATTCTAAAATTTGCTTTAAAAATTGCTCACATCTATATAATATTTGCAATGTCTGCCTTCCTTGCAAGATTAGAAGAATTGCAGAAAAAATTAAGTGCATAAATGACCCGATGTGAAGTGATTTGGAATATTCTGAACCAGATTCCTAGGGAAATTACAAATGATTGGAAATGGTATGTTCTTTATTCCTTTTCAGTGGTCATCGCCTTTGGAAGCACTTGAACTCTTTAAATCTCAAGACATCTGGATCGCACCTCCTCAGTTTTATGAGTTATACAGACTCTACAATTTCTCATCACTTCATGATCTACATAGATTTGGCTCTGAACGAGCTTTAGAAGGATGTGAGCGTTGGATGCCTGTAATATTGGTTGCCTCAGATGGTCACATACAACTTTTACCAGGTAGACGAAAATTGGGATTGTATTCATTATTTAAATAGTTATAAGCTCTATTTATATTTTCAGGTGCACTATATTAGAATAATAGAATAATAGAGTTGGAAGGGCCTATAAGGCCACTGGGTCCAACCTGCTGCTCAAAGCAGGAATCCAAATCAAAGTAGATCTGACAGATGGTTGCCTAATTTTCCCTAGAATGTCTCCATTGTTAGAGCACTCATCACCTCCAAAGGTTATTTGATCCATTTTCATACTAACAGTTCTAACAGTTATGACCTTTTACCTGTTATTCAGCTGAAATTTGGCTTCCTATAATTTGAACCCATTATTGTATGTCCTGCACTCTGACATGATTGAGAACAGATTGTACCCCTGTGTATGACAGTTTTTCAGATATTTGAAGAATGTAATCATATCTCGCCTCAACTGTCTTTTCCCAAAGCTAAACATGCCAGGAGGGGGGTTCCAGTCTTTCCTCATACTGTTTGCTTCCTAGTCCTCCGATCGTCCTTGTTGCCCTCCTCTGTTCCCGTTTGTTGCCATCCTTCTTGAAGTGTGGCATTCAAGAAGCATATCTAGGTTAATAATCTCTAAACTATGTACTCAAGAGGAGGCCTAATTAGTGCTGAATAGAGGGGGACTAGTACTTCACAGATCTGAAGAATACTTCTGTTAATGCATAGTAAAATATCATGTGCCATTTTTGCAGCTGCATCACATGTTGTCTCATATTCGCCTTATAGTCTACAACTACAGTGGTGCCTTGCTTGACAACATTAATTCATTCCAGCGAAATTGCTGTAGAGCAAAAACGTCAAACGAAATAAAAAAACCTATTGAAACGCATTGAAAACCATTCAGTGCGTTCCAGTGGGCTGAATACCTGCTCGTCCAGCGAAGATCCTCCATACGGCGGCCATTTTTTGTGCCTGTAAAGCGAGGAATCCATCGTAGAAAACAGCCATTTTCTTCAGCCAGCGACCATTTTGAAACCCAACAATCAGCTTTTTGCTGATTGTCGTAAAGCGAAAATCGGTTCCTGAAGCAGGGAACCGATCATCGTGCAGCGAAAAAAACCCATTTAAAACATCGTTTTGCGAACGCAAAAATGTCAACATAAAGCGGATTCGTCATAGAGCGGGGTAATCGTCCAGCAGGGCACAACTGTATTCCAAGATCCTTCTTGTATGTTATTACTGAGCCAAGTATCCCCAACTTATAATGGTGCATTTGGTTTCTTTTTCCTAAGTGTAAAACTGCATTTATCCTCGTTAAATTTCATTAAGTTGTTTTCAGCCCAGTCCTTAAACCTATCAAGAATTTTTTAAATTTTGTTCCTGTCTTCCAAAGTATTAGCTATTCCATGCAGTCTTGTGTCATCTGCAAATTTTATAATAGGTTGTGGGGCCAGTGGCTGAGAGTTCAATTCTCCACTCTGCCCTTCAGAAGAAGAGCCAACCTGTGTAGTCATGGGCAAGCTTCATGGTCTCAGAGCACACCCCTCCCCAAGAAGAGAACAGTAAAATATTTCTGTGTATTCTCTACTTAGAAAACCCTGACAAGGGACACAATAAGTCATAATTGACTTGACAGCACATAATTATTATTTTTATTCTTTTATTTACGATTTCTCAAAGTAACATGGTTTCTTTTCCTGAATTACATGGTGTTAACTATAGTGTACTATTGCAATATGTTGATTCTTTGCTGAGTTAAATTACCGTATTTTTCGCTCCATAAGACGCACCCAATTTTTAGGAGAAGAAAACAGGAAAAAAATCTGTTTTCTTCTCCTAAAAATTGGTGAGCCTTATGGAGAGATCTATCTTATGGAACGCAACCTAGGACCCTTTGGAGGCTCACCCT